AATGAACGACTGTTCTGCAACGAGGTAAGTTCGTTTTTTTTTTCTGTTTTTCTTTTCTTTTTTTTTTCTAGATGTTGTTTTAGATTTCTTTTTAGATTTTTGTCTTCTTCTTTTGAAATTTCGTTTAGATTTTGTTTTCTTTTTCTTTTACTTTGGTGCTTGTTGTTGGAGTATTGAGCACCCGTTCAATTCGGACGAACAGGTCATGGTAGTTAAAAAAAAAAAAAAAAAAGCATGATTGTGCCACAGACTTTCGTCGGACTTCCACCGGCTCATCAGGAGGCTGTGCCCCGACAGTCCATTGCAGGATGGGCAAAATCGAATGAATCTACTGCTAGAACGTGGAAATATACTACCACCACTACTACTACTGCTACTACGAGGGAGACTGGCAGCGAACGGTCGCAACGGCCAAAAGGTAAGTCCCCAACCGTACGGTTGGCCTTGGTCCCCCTCCTTGTGGCTTCTCATAGTGGCTGCGCCCGTTCATTTTGAACGGGCAGCGGTTGCTTGAAGTTGCCCTGCACAGAGAAACGAAGGGGCAGAGTGAAAAAAAAAAAAGAAAAAAAAAAAGGGATGTAATGACCGCGAATATGGTCGCGGCCGTGGAACAGGTGCACCCCAGAGGGGGTGATGGGACTGCGCCTGTTCGTTTTGAGCATGCAGCAGTGAAATGGCTGAGTACAGCCATTTCTAGGAGTATCTGGCCTAGGAGAACGTCCAAGTATTCCTGGGGGTTGATGACCTTGGTCCCCCTAGAGGAAAACCAAGACATCTAGCTCTTGGACGTTGATTTAGATCGAGGGCCAGGAGCACCCACAATTTTTGTCTGGCTGTGGGCAAAGCAGCTGCCCACATGCCTTCGGCTGGCTATAAAAGCAAGCTCCCCACCCAACAGCCTCACACTTGTGGCAGCGTTGTTGGGGCATTCACTTGTGTGAATGCTGGCTGGCGGCTGCATGTTGTTGTAGAGGGGCGGTGCTGCCGGCGGAGGTACTGTTGGAGGAGGAAGTGGAGGTCTGCAGGAGCATTAGAGGAGGGCAGCCATAGCCGAGGCTGGGAGCTCACTGCCCCACCTCTGCATGGGTGCCACGACCGGTGGGCTGCGTCAGGGCTGGACGGTGTAGTAAGCAGCAAGGGTCGTCAGGGGTTATGCTACCGAAATTTTGGCTCGGCGGCAACATTTTTTTGTGGAGAAATGCTGCCGGTTTTACCACGCGGCATCAACTTTTTTTTGTGTAGGAAGGTGCTGCTCGATCAACGACGCGGCAACGGCAGTGTATCCGGTGGGATCATACTGCCAAAATTGGCGGCGAAGGCGATATTTTCTTAGGAAGTGTTGCCTGGTTGGCGGCACGTCGACGACTTTTTTTTTAGGGGAAGTGTGCCAGAGTTTTGTGGCGCGGCGAATTGGAAGTGTGATCAGGCGTTGGTTCCACATGGCAGCAGTGGTACCGGCTTTGACGACACGTCTCATCAAGTGAAAACTGAGGTTGTCCGACTACCTTATCAGTTGCATCTATGTTATTGTCAAAAAGTCAACTCCTTGTTGGTGGCTGTATGATTTTTGTGGAGTTCGACCCGAGGTGGTCGAATTTTATTTTGATATCGTGTTATTGGATGTATCAAATGATGATTTGAATTCGCTCGGTTATCATCGCAAATAGAATATATTTCTATCGACTACGGTTGACTTCTTTTGAAGTAACTGAGTGTGGTTATTATTACTTTCGTTTGACTGTGTGTCAAGGGACAAGGAAGATTTGGGATTTCACGCTTGGTTGAAACCTTCCTAGTCGACTGACGTCTGCTTCGTACTTAGGAGATCAACACCCTAAGGAACGAACGACGCTTGGGTCCACTTCGCGTTTAACCAAGCATATTTATACTACGGCGAACGAGCAAACGCCCTCGGCTAACCTACCTCTGCAATTGCACCTAAAAGCTTTCGCACGTGGGTCAGTAGCTCGGTAGGGATACGACCCTAAGGGTGGTGACAGCCCCGTAGGGAAAGCAAGTTGTGCCTCGCAGGAACCTATCCTGTCGTAGGACACCGCGGGGTGTACAGCTGGCGCACCCGGCTAGAGCGGCGAAGGGACGACGCAATCGCGACCGTCTCGGTGGTCCGCAGGATTACTTCAGGTCGTCCCCAAGTTGTCTCCTTGGTTTTGCTATGTTTTACTTCTGCGTGACATGGTCGGGAGGGCTCTCGCCTCTGCGAAAAAGGCGGGAGCCGATGCGCTCGACGGGTGGCGCCGTTGCCGAGGATAACGGCTACCTACCACTGTCCCTAGAGAAACAACACTCGGGTATATTTGTTTTATGAAATAATTATTTGAATTCTGATTTCTAAAAGTTAATTATTTTATCATCATTGATTTTTTTTATTTTTTTTTCTTTAAGGATTATGTCTTGATTTTATTATGAAGTTCATTCTGGTTATTTTGAACGATTCAGTTGGATGTAAATTCGTAATGTCCGGATATTAATTGAGTCGAACTCGATTATTATCTTAATATTCATTGAAATTATCTATAAATTTTCAGTTATTGTGTTGAGAATTGTTATCTTTCATGTACAATATTTTAATTGGATATTTTATCATGAACTTTTGACGGATCCTTTCAGATATAATTTTAGTACATCGATTTTCTTGTGCGAATTATTATCAGTCTCAACTATTTTGAAATATTGTCAACCAAGCGTTAACCTTCTTTTGAAATTTTGATATTGTTTTTTATTTAGTCATACATTTTATATTGGAATGGTGTAGTTTACTCGGACTTCCATTTATTTTGAGATTATCCATTTTGATATGTATTTGATGCATTTCTATGATTGAAAGCATCGGGTCTACTATTGAAGATTATTTAGCTTGGATCATTATGAGGTTTTATGTGAAAGCGTTTGTTGAATAATGTATTGTTGTTCTTAAATATTTTTTGAATTATGTTATCATGTCACGATAAATTTATGATGGATTTGTGAGCTTTGTAGGTGGTCGTGAGGCCCACGCCGGAACTATGTTCCTTGTCCATAGTGGGATGTTGTCTTCCGAATCCTATGTGGTTTAAGGAAGGAAGACAACATTATTACTGAAAGGGAAGAAGGTGTTGAGGTCTTATTAGAATGTTGCTTGTAGGGTAGGCGACTATCGTTTGCCATGAGGGAAGGAGTGGCTACCTAACCTCGTGTTAAGCATGGTCACCGCACCTCTATGGTCGGGATCTAGCCCACCTCGGTTATGGAGGTGGGGCAGTTCTACTCCACATACAGAGGACTAATGAGATCGATAACGCTGGAATCGGAGGGAATGTGGTGAGGCTCGAATCTAAAGTGGGGCTTGATGTGATGTTATCCTTATACGAATTACACTACTCGACGCATATCAACAAACATGTTGGAAAAAATCATGCATGATAACTAAGAGATTGAAGAGAGATCATTACCTGGTCAGGAGTGGCTTGGACAAATGGTTTCTTTTAGGATGGTCAATCCAGGTAATGTTTGGACTGTTCCAGGAGGTGGGAGGGGTGAATGAAAGGCCCGACATGGGGTTAATCCCGAGTTGTGAGATTTGGCAAGGGGTTAATCCTGGTCTCCAACCGAATGGAAATTTTGGATCTAGCCGGAGGGCTTCCGGTACCATCCTCTAAGACATATATAGTATTGAGTGGCTGCCAATGGGATGATGTTGGGACCATCCTAAAAAGACACTCCTAAATTTGAAGGCCTCCAGGGGGTAGGCCAGAGTCTAAGTCTTGATGGTATAGGAAATTCAATCTGTTATGACCCTGGCCAATTTCGAGATACACATCCACTGGAAAGTACAATGCCATCCAATTGCAGAAAGAAATGAATGAGTTTGAGAGGAGAGAGAGGAGTAGAAGAAGAAGAAGAAGAAGTAGGAAAGAAGAAGAAGAAGATGTACACCAGCAAAGACAATGATAAGGCTCTTCTTCTTCGCCCAACAATCTCCTCCTCCTTATCTCCCCCCTCTCTTATTCATACAAGAAATAATAATACAATGTTGAATGACTGGTCCAGAATCATGTCCGAGTCCCCTTTCTACTGCAGGTATCACTCAAGGTCCACCATAGCCATGGCCGCCTCTCCCATTCTTCATACACATAGGCCGAGGCTATGGCAGACTACTAGGCCTTGCTCCGATGCCCAAAGGACAACACAAAGCAGCTATGGCTGCTTGGACTCAGGCCGCCATGTCCAACCCTGCCCTGAAGCTTCTTGGTGTGGCTTTCCCCGGCTGGGGACTCCTTGCTGCAGCGCCCACCAAGGTGATGAAGATGGCTGCCACCATAGGCAGGTGAGTACCCCTGGCGCTCCTCCCCCTTCCTCCTTCCTTCCTCCTTCCTCCCTCTAGTCCTTCTTCTTCCTTCCCAGCAGCGCAACCCCAACCCAGTGCTGCTCCCTCCAGCGCTCCACCAATGTGTCGCCAAACTTGCACACCGAAAAAGAGGCCGGGTCTTTCGCCCGGCCGGAAGATATAGCGGCCTGCTTTGCCTCTTGGGCGGTGACTTCCAGGCCGCTGGCCTTCCCAAGCAACCGGTACCTCTTCCTCCTTTTGGAGGGAACATCATTGCAGACTCTGATATTGCCCCTACAGGCCCTAGACTCAAACTTGTACCCGCTAGACCTAGCCTACACTACCGGCCTCTAAAAATGCCACTTTTGTCTTCTTCTGCTCGGCCTCCGGTACCTGCATATTTACCCCCCCTGCCGAGTGCGGTACCGGCCTACCCGCTACTTGAGTGCTTTTTCCCTGCTGCAACCCTTCGAAGCCACGGCCACAGGTAAGTACCGGCCCTGAGGGCCCAACGAACGAACAAGTGCCCTGGCGGGCCACACACGCACACACTCATACCAACCAGCACTCAGACAAGCGTGGTCACACACGCAAGCCAACCAACACTCAGACAGACATGCAGTCCAGCAAGCACACACACACACAGACTTAGCAGGCGGGGAACTCAGTAGGGCATTCAGTCTATGAGAAAAACTCAGAAATCAGCTGTGTGTTTCAATCCGTGTTCGGACGGGTTATCACACTACCCCCCCCTCACGAGCGAGATCCCTTCGAGCGAGTAACTGATTCTGAGTCCTCGGTAAACGCATCATAGGCGAGCAAGGCAAAGAGATTCATGGAATACTCTGTTGCAGAGAGCCTTGCTGAGATCTTTGGTGTGGCATTAGCGGCGATCTGTCGCTCGTAAGCTTCAACAACGCGCGGTGCGCTGCGTAGCAGTTCCTGTTTGGAGATCCAGTAGAGATCATCTAACGGGTGATACATGAAATGAACCTGGTACTGTCTGTTTCTCCCTTTACCTACATGCTGTTTGATTCTATCTATCTCATGCCCGCCCTTGATTGCGCGAGGGATCATATCTTCGCAGTAATCGAATGTCTCGGCGTCACGATGGAGATTCAGTTTAGATGCATGAAACACGGGATACGTGCGCAGGTGAGCTGGCACGTCGACAACATACGAAGGGCCAAAGTGATCTTCCCCAAGTACATCCAAAACTTCCCAAGGCCCGTAGTAGAGTGGGAGGAGTTTGCGTGAGACTCCCTCCTCCTCTGAGAATTCAAACATCTTTACCCAGACATAACTTCCTACCTGAATGTCCGATGGTTTGCGCTTCTTGTTCGCATGGTGAATCATGGCATGCTGTTGCTTGGTCATGGCTGCAACAACAACTTTGAGCAAGCGATCATACTTAGCCCTGAAGTCGGGTCTGCCGGGTGTTAAACCAGCTGGCTGTTCAGGGAATAAGTAGGAGAGCGGATTACGGATCTGCCACCCATAATGCAGCCTGTTAGGTGTCGTTGCGGTGGCAGAATGGACGGAGTTGTTGTACAACCCCTTGACAGAATACAGCTCCTCATCCCATGTTTCTTGATCAGGAATGATCAACGCACGGAGTAGTTGGAATACAGTCTGGTTGATCTCCTCAGCCAAACCGTTGGCTTCGGGGTGTCGGCCAGATGTCATGCACAGTTTGATTCCAAGGTGGGACGTGAACTCCTTCCATTCAATGCTAATGAAAYGYGGGTCCCGATCGCTCACAAGAGTCTTCGGGGTTCCGAATTGCAACAGGTATTTCTGCTGGAATTCGCGAATCACTAGATCTGTTGGGGCATGAGGCGGTAAAGGAATTAGATTGAGAAACTTTTGAAAACCGGTCAACAATCACCATGACTTGTGAAAACCCGTTCTTGCTTACCTTACCCATGTTAGTGAAATCGATGGAGATGGACTCCCCGGGACCATCAGGAATGGGTAGGGGTGTGAGTAGCCCCATGGGCTTTTGTTTGCATGGTTTGATTCGTTGACAGACTTGACATTCAGCTATAAATTTCTCAGCAGTCCCTTTCATACCGGGCCAATCAAACTGTCTCAGCAAATTAGCGTACGTTTTAGCCATGCCAAAGTGCCCACTCCAGCCATGAGCCAAGTCCAAAAAGTGTGTGCGGAGAGGCTCATGGTTGGGTACACACAAACGGTCATGGTTCCCGTATCGGCGAAAAATCAGTCCTCCATACTCGTGGAAATCAGGCTGACTACTAGGATCAGCCTGCAGCTGCTCAAGGATGGAACTAAGTTCCGGATCCTTGGCTGTTTGCTCTACGAGTTCCTCCTTCAATTTCTTCCGGAGGTCGTAGGATTTCACAAGGCAAGTCATGTACTCAGGGTGGCGAGACAAAGCGTCAGCGACTCGATTGTAACAACCCTTTTTATGCCTCAATTCAAAATCAAAGATGTCAATCTCATGAAACCAGCGAAGCAAGGTAGGGGACAAAGAAGTCAGCATTTTGATCCACTTCAAGGTCTCATGATCTGAGAACACTTTGAAGTGGCGTCCCAATAGGTAATGTTTCCAGTGATCCAACGCCATGCGCAAAGCGTAGAGCTCGCGCATGTAGGTGGAAGTGGCTACCTTTACGCTGGGCATTCGTTTGTTGTAGTACTCGAGTGGCCGCAGGCAATCACCGTCATCTTGTTGCAGCACCGCACCGATCCCATACTGACTTGCATCCGTAGTCACTACGAAGGTCAGTTTGGGGTCTGCAATGCGGAGTACCGGATTGAAACAGTTTTCACCTTTGGCAGTAGCCGATGCAGATCCCAGGGGTCGATCCCTTGACCTCAGCTTACCTGTGTACAGTATCTGTACAGTTCCCTGGAGTTGAACCCGTGACCTGC